CAAGCCTTCCTCTTAAGACCACTACATATCACTGACTACTAGGCTTTGCTCAATAAATTTAAGTAGAGAAACTGGATATGCCCATTTTCTCTGGGTTTTGAAGAAATTAGCTTAGGCAAGCTTAGTATGTGCCTGATCATGGTAATGTTGTGATGATACTGTATATCAGATAAGTTGATGTTAATTATTTGTACAACTACAAGATCTGGAGGCAGACTGGATACCAGAGTTCTACTGTGCTAGATACCATACAAATGTACCGAATGATAACCCAGTGGCTTTGTAATCTAGAAAGACAAATCAAATGGCTTGTTGAAGGTAGAGCTGAGAAGCAGTAAAAATAGAAAATAAATCATTTCAGCCATGTACTGGCTAGATTTCTTCTGTGAGTGAGTTAAAATCTCCAAAGGTCTCAGGCTTTGTTCATGATATCGGCTTTCAAATAAATCCCTGAGCTTAATTTTATTTATATTGTGTATTAGTTACCTAAAAACCTGTAGTGATGCATAAAGTTCCAGACATATAGCAAATTATGTGGGTTTGGCGTGAGTATGCCAATCCCGGAAAGATGAAGCTGGAAATTTAAGTCATCTGCTCCAGTACTGTCTTGCTTTAAGGCAGAACTATACATACAAGCCTGACCTCAGCAGATGTTTAGCGTAGCCACGCTATAAAACTTTCAGTAGAAAAGATTGGATTATCATTAAACTTTGCTAATTTCAGCATTTTACCACTTTATGAAATGCCTAAGAATTGATAATAGCCTTCAAATAAATTTTACTTGATCACAGTCTAACAAGCCATTTGTAGAAGTATGATGTTAGATGCTTTTCAATACAGATGGTAAAAATTAAAACAAACAGTAATGATCTGCTTTTAAAGATCTACTGATCAGGATATTGTATTCACACTGTTGTGTCCAGTAGTTCATGACTGACTTTCCTCCCATGAATTTGTATATTTCTGAATGTATCTTAAAACATCCAGCACATACTATGTGAGTGAATTGCATGATTCAGTTATGTACTATCTCAGAATGTATTTCTTTTGAATATATTTTGTTACCAAATGATTTTAGTAAATATTTGTAGTTCTTTCAGTTATTAAAATAATAACGATGGGTTTTTTTTTCAAATTTGATATTTTTTAGAACCTTCTGTGTTTTTTCTGTTACTGAGGGAGCTTGTAAAGCTCTGTTTACTGTGTTCAAAAATTCAAGTTAAAGGTAGACCATTAACTTATAACAGAGATTTTCCTTTTCTGTACTATTCCATTTCTTTATAATTTGTGACATTTCTCTTGCCTTTTTAACCGTGTTCAAAATTGGACCAACCTCATCAAAGAAGTAACTGAAAAGACCCAGTTGAAATGACTGTCCCCTCAGCTGTTAATATTCAGATCACAATTGCATGTTGTTCTAGAATATATTCCATAGTTCAAAAAAAGATCAATTCTGACAAGATATACAGTCTCATATACAATTTTAGAGCAGACTAGATTAAAACATTTGTCCTTCTTAGCCTTATAAATTATGTATCTGTGAGAATTGCTTCTTTTAAAAACCATGACCCCTAAGAGTAATAATTTCTATTTATTTTGTTCTGTATATGTATTGGGTTTTTTTTTTTTGATAAATAGGTTTGTAATGAGAATTTAGAGAATCTAGTTTGACATCTTGAAGCAGCAACAAAAGAAGTATAAAACAATAGTTGACCTACTGCTTATAATATCTCTCAAAAATCTGCCAAAATTAGCTGTAAATATATATGCATATATATACATGTATATATCCCTTCACCTCAATGAAGATTTTTTCTTTTTTCTTGCATCAGTAAGGCTCCTGAGTTTCTTCCACAGAATTGCTATTTATTCATATAGATGCAGTTCAGAGTAGGATTTGTCTTATTGCCTGGTGTTCTCTCTTTTAGTTTTTGAGAAACATCTATATGCTTTCGGTCTGGATGATTTGATTTTTAGATTAAGAAAAAGATGGCTGAAAAGTGAAGACCAAAATTTAGAGCCCTTCTGAAAGTAAGCAGTGTGTGTAGTGTATGTATACTGTTGGTGTACGGCTGAAATTTCACAATCTCCCTCTCCAGCTTGTGCACTGTGATGCTCTGTACTAAAATAATTGCCTACTCCTTCAGCGCCCTTCACATTGTTTCAGTTAGATTGCTTTCTGTCATCAAACTGAGGGGCAAATATTGTCATTGGTCTTTTAAGAGGACATTGTCAGCTTCTTCCAATTTCAACATGTAATTGTTCTTCGGATTATTAAAATGCTCTCAGAGTTTAGGTAAAAATATGTCTGGATTACAGGGCTTGTAGATCTTGGAAAGATAAATATCTGTCACTCCACTTTCACTGATGAAGAATCTGTTTTATGAGAAGGTAAAATAAATTGTTGCCCAAAGGAAAATAGTGCTTAAGGGTAAGATTCCATATCTCCTGATTCTTGGATGTAGATTAGCCTGTGTCATTTAAAAACATTCATAGTAACATTTTGGAGCAGTGCATATAACAAGGAATTGCTGCCAGGGCCTGAAGGGGGTGGTAGTGTAGAACAGAGAGGCCAAAGTGAAGCTTTATTCATTCTTTTTAGTATTTTCATACCTGTGATTTATCTACAACCATTCCATTAAGTAATGATAATTACATGCCTGATGTCTTAGAAACCTCCTGACAGAACTTTATCTCCAAAAAATTTGTAAGTGAGGAGAAAGCAATGTGACTTTTGAGGGCAGCAGTATCAAGGGATGTGTGATCACCTTTTTGTGTAAGATGTTTGGAGCAGGTCAGCGAGTGCTGATAGCAAGAAATGCCTACTGTCTACTATAATTCTCTGGAGTTCTTCTGGAGCATATAACTTGCAGCTCTGTGGTTATGTATTTTGCTTTTTCCTCACTTTGGCAAGCTATTTATTTATTTAAGTGCAAAATAAACATAGTGGCTTTGAAATGCATCTTTCTTCATCATATACTTGCAGGTCTAGTTAATATCCATGTTTGGTAACAAAGAAAGAAAATTGCTAGCTGGATGGGGAATGCAGTGATAGAGGCCAAGTCCATAAAGAAATGTTCAGTGTTAGTGGTAAAGTTTATCTTTCAAATTTAGAGAGAAAGTTTTCATTAAAGCTGCTTTTAATTAGCTGTTGTAATATAGGAAACTGGAGATAAAGAAATTTTGAAAATAAATCCTGAATTTGCCCTGTATCTATGGTCATTGTATTTTGCTGTAGGTTTTTCTTTCTGGTTTGCTTTACTGTTATTCTACCAGTAATGAGTAAACTAACAGTTGAATTTTTTTTCCAGGGAGAATCTTGTGCCCTAGAGATACTAAAACCAAACCAAAACAACAACAAAAAAAACAAAACATGAATAAACTAATAAACTATGTCTTGTATACCTTCAAGTCTTTCTTTGCAGTTTGGCTTCAATAGCTCTGCTTTTAGAGAATTGCATTATGTTGTTTTCTATCCTGGTAATTGGAACAGAACCATTTTCATGACAAGATCCTGGTCAGTCCAAGTATGAATATCACAATCTGGTAAAGTCATGCCTCTACAAGAAAGTCATGAGGAACATTGCTGGAGGAGGGACTGTATAGAGAGCTGGAGGAGGCTTTCAGTTAGGCCTGTATTGTGTTTTACACAATTTTCTGCATTTCTCAGTTGCAATAAAATGTTGCAATCAACTTCCCTCTATTAACGTGAAAAAAAAAGATTATTGATATCTTATAATGAAGACAGTCTATAGCACTGTAGTGTGAATGAATGTGAGACTCTTGCTGTCCAGTATAAATGCAGCAGAGTCGAAAATTTAGGAAAAGAGGGAAAATGCTTTGCATGCTGTTAGGAGAAGAGGGAAAATTCTTTATATGCTGTTACAGTGCTAAATTTAAAGTAATCCAGGCACAGTCTAGTTTTTTTTAAATGATCTCTTTAGTTATAGGACTGTTTGTTTTTCTTTTCAACTGATACTGCAGTTTTGCAGTTCAAAGAATAAGGTAGACTGCTAGGAAAAAAAAAAAGAAGAAAAAAGAAAAAAGTCTGATGTACACCACAGTTCTATTTCGAAGAGGTTATGAGATGGCCTTCCACTGTCTCGTTTTGTTTCTTTTTCGATTTCTCTATTGAGACAGCTAATAAGGCTAATGCTGGTTTTGTAGTATGGATGGTAACAAATGTACTAGTTTTCTGAGTGAGGCATTTTAGTTCTGCCTGAATCAGAACTGAATCCATGCCATATACGCAGTAGTATGCTTCATAAACTCTGAAGCCAGCTTACAGTACATCTCCTTGCTGAAAGCTTGAAGATGTATTCTTGTTAACTGCATTTGGAAAGTTTTGGGAGATCACTAGGGGGATCCAAGTCATCGCTTGGAGCATGTGAGATAGAAAAATAAGACTGCAGTCACTCCAATCCTTTGAAGGTCCGGAGCATTTTCCATTTGGTTTAGGAGCAATTAGCTTCCCTCAAATGTCCAAAGCTGGTTAGTACATTTTTGCTCATTTCTTATTTTGTTATCTTTAAAAATGCATTCATTCTACTGATTTCCATGGTTATTTGTTTTAGGGTGGAGGGTGTTTATTCTGTTCTATTTTTGCACTTGTGAAACAGTTAGGATACAACCTGCATGTGGCTGCACTTCAGATGGCAACTGAACAAGAAACAACTAATCAGTGGAATTGTTCAAGCAACTATTCACATCTCCTTGGTTTTATTGCCTGATTTCTTAACTGTATTTTGTAATACTTAAGAGAGCAAACAAGTCGCTATGTTCATGTGAAAGCTGTAAAGAAGAGTGTGGAAGACAATGTTAGCCTTGAAGCAGAGCCAATGAAGTGTAGCTTGACTTAGTTCAAGATGATGCTTCTGTATATTCTTCAGTGCCATCTACTGGCACGGTAACCCATTAGAGATTTATAGGGCCAGAACATTCTCCTAATAGCAAGCAATTTGCGAGCTTTTTTTTTTTTTTCTTTTTTTCTTTCATTTCAGGAACAAGGCAAGATTGGTGTAGTCTTCAATATTGGCACGGTGGATATCTCTATTAAAGAGGAAAGCACACCTGTGAATGATGGCAAATACCATGTGGTGCGCTTTACCAGGAATGGCGGCAATGCTACGCTTCAAGTTGACAGCTGGCCAGTGAATGAACACTATCCAACAGGTACATGCTTTTTTCTGTTTTCCTTTTTCTGTCTACCCATATTTACAAAATAACATTTAACAATAGGTGGTTACTATATTGATCTTTGTGGCATCGTCTCAATATTAAACTGACCAGCCTAGTGGTGAATGTTCTGTCTTTTGGAAAACACAGGGTTGGTCTTTTATAACTCTATGGTATGAGACACACAGATTTTGCTATTATGGAGGTCTCTAAGTGACTCTGGTTCTGCAGAGTAAAAAAAAAAAAAAAAAAAAAGAAAGAAAGAAAAAAAAAAGTCAACAACAAACTTGGTTTTGCTACTTGTGATATTCTCAGTAATTAAGAAAGAAAAGTTTTGAGTGCACTTTGCAAGAAGGAGAGGTGGATTTAGCCATCCCCAAGATGCAGACTATCTAGGTACACAGCTGAACTGTAAAGAATGTGGGAGACTAAGTTGCAAATACTTGAATTAACCTTATTCTTGCCTCCATTTTTCATCACCTGATTTTTGCTCTCTTTTAGGTTTGCACATAAATAGTGGTTGACACAAAATCTAGACAAAGCTGAGAATGCTCAGTTGACTTTAGGTCAAAATATAGTGCAGCAATTCAGTACCTCTTGGAAAGTCATCACCCCAAGTCCACCAGGAATACTGAACAAGTGGCTCTTGAATCACTGTCTCATGTTACCTCACTCTTGGGAATACACAGCCACATCACCATGTTAAAAGATTATACTCACCCCTAGTGAAAAATAGGCTGCTGTACATGATGTGGACAGGGTATAAGACAGTTGAGACATGGTGATGGGGATAGTTACAAAAAGCAGAAGAAACACAGGGAAACAATTCCAATTGTACCCATATTCATCTTGTTCGCACTTTGTTGACAATGATCAAGCAATGATCATCTTGTTGCTTCCAAGTATTAAGTATAAGCAACTTCCAGTTCTTCCTTTCTAGATTATACATAACTGATCTGGAATAAAAGATAGAAAAATGTACTGATAGGCACAAGGCAATTTGTAGTTTTGTATGAATATTCCATTATTCTCAAACACTAATAAATTATTCCAAAGGGATAATTTCATCTCTTCTATTCAATCAGAAAGTGCATGGGGAAGTTTTTACTGCAAGTGATGTTACTTCATATTCGGTGATTCTTTTCTAGTGTTTTGATGCTGTGTGTGCAAAAGAGTACACTTTAACAATTATCATTATTTTAGTGAAATAATTGCTTTCTAAGAGAGTAATGACAAGAATGCTGAGCTAGATTCTAGCATTATTATCCATTGGTAAGAAAAAGTAGGTTGGCTGTAGGTCCCCAAACTGAGCATCTTTCTTCTGCTCCTTTCTTCAGTTGTTTTATGGTAAAATATCTCTGACCTAATTGCCAGCCAATTATAGACAGTAAAAATCCCACAAATATGTTTTCTCCTCCTATTACTTGTTGTAGTAATTCCCTCCTATAAAGAAACAAAGCATTCAGCTATTGCTTCTGAGATTTTTTTTTTAAAGGAAAAAGAAGTCACATTCAGAGAATACCTCTGTATCCTCTGTATTTGTTTTGGTTAAAGTAGTCCTGCATTTTCTTTAGAAGGTATATGCTTTAATAGAATCAGCATTGGTCTTATGTTCTGGCCTAGTATCAAGTATATGCAGTTGTACCCCAAAGGAACCTTTATATTCCAGACATCATTTCCTTTCCATGCAGGTGTTTCACCTTCTAGCTCTTTGTAGGTGTAGTATTTTTCAACCTCTCCATGTGAAAATAGGACTTTGGGGATTGTACTTTGTGTGTGTCTCCTATATTTTTTCAGTTAATTTTCATATTGATTTTTTAGCCAAATTTGATGGAGGGAACAGAAGATTTTTAGAAAGAAAAAAATATATTCAAGTCCAACATGGCTAGTGAAAATAACTAATGGAGGAGTTCACTATCCTGATTCTCCCAGGGAAAGGACTGTGGCTTGATCTTACTTTGCCTTAAAAGCCAGAATATTCATAGATAGATAGATAAATGTATTATTAATGTCTCAGCTTTGTGAAAAACTTAAACAAGAGAATAGCTACAAGAAACCATGCCTTATTAGTTCAGTTTTCTAAGGAAGTGATAATTTAGAAGACATCTGAGCAAACCAAACATGCGCCTAATATTTTTCATGAAGAGAATAAACACATTCAGCAGAATCTCAGCTTTGAAAGAGTTCTGTGGTTAAGCTGATCGGGACTAATCTAGTATGTCTCAGCTATAGAATACTGAAATTGCAATTCATATTCAACTTGTGTATTAATATTGAAGGAATTCTGTGTCCTACATGTAGGATCACTTCAATTCTGGAAGAGACAGTTTTTTGTAGTGTTTTAAAAAGAAACTTATTTGTAGCACATACATGTTTGAGCATGCTGTGATGTCTATAATGTGAACAATTTAATGTGTGCATAATTTTCTGCATGATGTTGCGGCTGTGTTCACAAATTTGGCAAATGAGCAAAAGTTTGTTTGTCATCACATGTGATGGCAGCAGGGTGGAATTCTTAATGGTATTTCTATGCTCCTCTCTGAGTTTTATTAGCTCTTGAAGAGTTATACATCAGATTCATAATTACTTGCTCAATGGAAAGTACAAATAAATGTGTGATGCTCTTAAAATGAGCAAAGAGAGAGAATATTGGCTTTCCTTAAAACACTGTATTCAGTTAAATTGAAATTAAAGAAACTAGGGAATGAAAGATTCCAGAGATATGTTTTACAACTTCATATAAAAGACAAGGAAGTGAAAGGAAAGCAGAAAAGGAGAAAACCTACAGTTCTGATATGTATGTATTGGGTTGTATTTTTGTTTGTATGTTTTTTAAAAACATCCAATTACGCCTCAGTAATGTGCAACACAAGCTGTTTTCTTGTGAAGAAAAGGGTTAGAGGTAAATCTGATCTTGCATCTGGGTCACGGCAAGCCCCACTAACAATACAAGCTGGGAGTTGAAAGGAGTATAGCCCTGCCAAAAAAATAAAAGGGGGGGGTACTGGTGGATGGGAAGCTGGACATGAGCCAGTAGTGTGCCCTTGCAGCCCAGAAAGGCAACTGTATGCTGGGCTGCACCAAAAGAAATGTGGCCTGGAGGTTGAGAGAGGTTATTCTGCCTCTCTACTCCGCTCTGGTGAGACCTCACCTGGAGTACTGCATCCAGATATGGAGTACTCAGTACAGGAGAGACACGGACCTGTTGGAGCGTGTCCAGAGAAGGGCCACAGAAGTGATTCACAGAACGGGAAAGCTCTCCTACAAGTACAGGCTGAAAGAATTGGTGCTGTTCAGCCTGGAGAACAGAAGGCACCGAGGTGTTCTGATAGCAACCTTTCAATATCTAAAGGGGAGCTACAGGAAAGAAGGGGACAGACTCACTAACGGGGTCTGTGGTGACAGAACAAGGAGAAATGGTTTCAAGCTTAAAGGTTGGACATAAGGAAGAAGCATTTCACAGAGAGGGTGGTGAGACCATGGCAGATGCTGCCCAGTGATGTGGTTGATGCTCCATCCCAGAAGACTTTCAAGGCAAGGCTAGATCAGGCCCTGGGCAACTTGATCTAGCTGTGGATGTCCCTGTTCATTGCAGGGGAATTGGACTAGGTGACCTTTAAAGGTCCCTTCCCACTCTAAGGATTCTATGATTCTATGATAAACTGTAAAGGAGGGAATTAACCTGAAGCTAAGGTTGGCTCAGATTTAGAAATGAGTCCTCAGTTTTAATATCATTCAAACTCTGACGGAGTTTCTCTTACTGGATAATAAGACTCTGAACAGTAATCCAGTGCAGGTAACTGAGACAAGGCTCTTGAGAAATGGGTAATGGCAAACGGCAGCGTTAACAATGGGACTCCTACCTGCTGTTCAGCTTTGTGACTTGGTTCAGGCAAAGCTGTTGAACTCTTCATGATGTATTTGTATTTTGCCCTTTCTCCTCTCCCTCAATTGTGCAATAAGGAGATGGGCTTTATATATATTTTCTACTGATGACCAATTCCTTGATGCTTAATTAACCAAGTTGATCGTTGCAATGTATTTCTCAGTCAGGGTATGTACACATTTTGCTACAAAATATATTTGAATTGCTGTGCCCTAAAGTGCTATTTTCCATGACTTCCTCTCTTCCGCTGTCTCACGTGCTTTCACCTTTTAGTGTACATTCCAGATAACAGATTGTGTTTGGCCATTTTCTTCTTTATGTTGTTCCTGACAGATGCCTCTAAATTTAAATTCATCTTTTTGGTGATGTAGTAGGAATCATTTTGGAATAAAAGTAAGTTAGATAGGAAAGCTGTTTTAAGCAAATGAAGTCTGTGACATGTTTTTGTTTCAGATTACTGTAAAACCCTTCAAACTTGAGGCATGACAGTACAGTGAGAAGGATTTAAGTCAGGCATCCTAAGGTTTGGGAGTCAGCAATTCTCAGAAGGGTTAAAAACAAATCTTTTGTCTTGAAGCACAGCTGAAATACCTCAGTCCTTAAATTTTCTTTAGTTCTTGAGTGGCAGATTTTTCTTCATTTCTCTTGCAAAGAAGTTCTTTGTATGTTGCCAGATTTGTAGTGAATGTTGAAAGAAGCCTGATATTCCTGTTCATCCATCCATGCATTGACTACATTTTCTGCAGTCATAAAGGAAACAAAACTAGGTGAAGAGAAGCTTTACAGTGAGAATAAGAAACCAGAGCAAAAGTCTAGGTGGAGTAATGTTTTAAAGAAGATTACAGGAAAGGAAGTGAGAGGCAGAAATATGCTGGCATTTAAAGAAATATATACTTTGCTGAGAGAACTGTATCCTAGATTTATACATTTGAAAGGAAAAAAAAAAAAAAGAAGAAGAAATGGGAGGGCTAGCTTTAAGCAATTGGGCCCTTATGAGGATTCATTAGTTCATTCTCTCAGTACAGATTTTATATTTTTCCCCTTTATCGTTCTCTTGAGTGATCACTTAGACTTCTTTTAGGAGTCTCTGCCCTGTCCAAAGACATTAGTG